AGATGGGACAACCTTGTATCATTCCTTTTCCTGTTCCCTAAAAAGATTATTCCAACTCTTACAAATTTCCCAATATTCTGTATGCCTGATTCTTCCTTCTACCACCAAGACTGGGCTAAAAAAATGCACACATGCAAGTGGAAAAACCATGCAAAACACTTTATACCTCTGTGTCAAAGGCTATTAAGTTCAAATTAGGTTCTCATTTAAAGACAATATCTCAAATGAGACTACTGTTTTAATCGTGGAAGAGTTTTTAAATATACTTATCTGGATTCCCCAGAATTCAAAAGATTTTGGAAATGAAAGATAGGGAAAGGGAAATGTGCTGGGCAGACTCAACTAAATCTGCTGCTTTCAACTTTCAACCAACCATCCATCCATCCATCCATCCATCCATCCATCCGGGATGAGGAGTGTAATTCTAGATCTTGAGGAATTTTCCCTCCAAGATCCTTCTAAGTACTAGCATTTCTGCCTACCACTATAGACCCATTCGGCTTCCTGAAAGATCCAAGAATTAACCTCTACATATCTGGAACGCACCCAGGTTGGAAAGAATAGTCTACAGCATAATTTAGCTGTATGCATAGATATGTTTATTTCCTATACCACCAAGAGCCAAATATAAAATTTCAGCCCATTCACACACAATGAACGGCCTGAGGATTCTGGCTCTGTAATATCTATAAACCGATATGCAGCATTTGTTTCTTCAAAATATGAAAAAACTGCTGAATGCAAAATGCTGGCATTTGCTGACTCAAAAAACTGTCCAAGGGCTTAGAAGTTATTGAATGTCATATATTTCTCTATGCATCCTTTCTCCAACTTCTACATAATTCAGGGTCCCTGCTTCCAAAATAAAACCCAAGAGCAAAAGTGGTTCAGTCCATCAAAGGGTGTCACCTCAGGTAGACCAGACAGAAAACACAACAAGATGAACTAATTCTACTTTTATTGTAAGGCTACATTAACAGAATCTTGCAAGTCTGAAAGTACAAATCTCCCGCCATCTCTTTTTACAGCCTGATAAGTTAGGGAGGGTCCTTTCTAAGTCCGTTATTCAGCTGCGGGCTCCTCTCCCTTTTATCTGATTGTTCCCTAGGCAGCATCTCTTCCCCTCATCTCTCAAGGTCATTCCCACATACTATTACAAAGGGCCTGCGAACAGGCAGTTTATGGAAAACCTGCCAAGCCCTTACCTCTTCTTGTATCCAACAAACGCTTTGATGTTCAGCTCCACTGGAACGTCTTTGGGGGGACAGAGCGGGACTTTTATGTTGCTTGAGAGATTCTGAGGACTGGGATGGATCACGTGGCTCTCACCTTCAAAGATGCCTTCAGCAAAGATCAGCACTGCTCGGATAATTGTATCTTAAATGAAAAAAGACATTCCCTCTTCATAAGTTTTAAAATTTCTCATATGACCTTCAATGTTCACTGAAGCGGAGGACAAAAGTTTATTGCAAACCTGACAGTGTAGCACCAGCTGAGGAAATTCTGCCAACTGCAACTGTCCATTAGAACCCAATGAAATATTCAAATGTAACAAAGGCATGCTAATGCTTGATAATTATAAAGCCCTCCAAGCCACTTTTGACAATATGACCCAGAAGCTGACTAGAGAGGACAGCTACAAAGACATGCACCATCCCAGGTAGGAGCCGCAATATCTAAGGTTCGTGGTGAGTACCAAGAAGAAGCAATCGCAGCACTTTAGAGTGCCAAGGTATTTATTCATTAAAAAAAAAATTATCCAGGACTGCAAAGAGCTCAGATAGGAGAGGAGAGGAGAGATGCCAAAATCATCATCATCATCACCACCACCACGGAAGCCAACCAGACATTTCACTTGTAGTCCCAAGTGTGCTAAGGATCGGCTCAGGTTAATCTCTTGCCTTTAGATGCTGACCCTTAAGTTTTAAGTGTGACTATTCTTCACACATGGCAACCAAAGAACAGATGTCCACCTAGCCCAGCTGTGTTCCTCTGGCCAGCAAGATGCTCAGGTTCTTAAAGATCAGGCAGAAAGCTCAGAGAAGGATGCAAATGCCTGATTCAGATTGAAGGAAACATCTTCCTCAGGCGCTCACAGCCAAGAGATACAGAGATTATGCGTACAGAGCCTGTGCTAATGAACTTTGCTGCTAACCCTGATTTACCGTTGGATGTAGAAATGCACAGTTCTACATGAGCAGATTCGGTTTCTGACCCCAGGCTGACCGACAATGCTGTCTGGAGCTGTGTGTTTGCTGGGATCACACCCCTTTGCCCATCCACCTCATTCACCTGAGTGTTCAGTTCCACCTGCTGTAAAACAAAATTCAGATCTTATTCGAAACGTTGGACGATACATAAACATATATAAAATCGGGTCCATTAATTGTAATAGCTTTCCATTAGCACTGGCAAAATGTTTTTATGCTTTGCCTTCAGTGAGACAGGAAGCTCTAATCAGACCCAAATGTTTATTCTTGCTGCCTACCAAAGGTACCCATATGTGCATTTCTTATGACATGATGCAAATTGCTCTTCTCTATCAATACTCCTAATTTACAGAGGGAGAAAAAAATTGTTCCATTTTCATTTGTGAATAGGATGCCAACCAGTCAAATACAGTCAGCTGACTAGTGGAAATGGAAGCCTTCCCCCCCACCCCCCCAACACCTTCATTGGTATGTCCCCAGACAGCAATGGGAGTAACAAGATTGTCTATTTTCTAACATGTGTCTAATTTTTTAATTTTTTTAATTTATTTTTTATTGCTTTTTAATTAATAACAGAAAAAGAAAAAGAAAAAAAGCAAGACACAATGTTAATTATCAAAGGAGATACATATCTCTATTTTCTAACATAACACACATTCTTTTGGGACTCTTCTGTCTTCTCCCCTCCCAATTAAACTGAATGAACAATCTCCTTTATTTATACACTGCAAGCATTTCCAAGCACAGATAAAACATAATATCCACAAACACACACAATAACCAGGATCTAAGATCACCCAAATGCCCAGAGGGCAAAATAACTGTGGAAGCATTGCCAAGGGAAACTGACTCCTTCATGAAATCTGTAAAACATCCTGGAGGGACTCAATGTTAGCATTAGTTAAAAGATGGCAGGGTCAGTTGTCCAGATCTGTTTCTTGTTACTGTTCTTATTATTTCTGAAGGCCATTATTGCTGGACTGTGTGGCTTTGTTTTTTACTTCCTTTCTTTCCCAAAATGTCAATCCAGGTTTTAGACACATAACCATCCCAGCAAAGCAATTGCCCCAGTCAGCTAAGAAATTACTGGTTAGCCTATCTTTTTTGTTTAACCTTAATTCTTCATCTGTAAAACAGAATAAGGACCAAATAAAGAAAGAAGCAGAGTTTTCTTTACCTCCTGAACTTCTAAAACCCAACCGTTGAAGCTTTACTTGCTTGCTTTGCTATAGGCCAAGATCAACTCTAGATTTTCCATCTTTATATAAATCACCTTTGAATTTTCTTCATAGTTTCGTAATTCAAGTAGCAAGTTTTGCTTCTTCTGACTAAGCTCCCGAATCAGATCTTGCTCCACACTTGTGTCCATCAGTTTTCCTTTCATCTCTTGGCTCCCTGGCAGGTATCCTCGCACTGTATAAAAACAAAGCCAAGAAGAGTGCTAAGCCTGCTCTTGGGGCTCTTGCTGGAGAAAAATTGTCATTGCACAAGAATCGTTCATAAACAAAAGAGGAAAAATGGACCAAACTTAGTCTGGCCTAAGTACAAATTAATAAAGGTTTGTAGAATATACCTGTCCTATCTAAACCAACAAAGCAAAGTGTTGGTCTCATGGGATTAAAGGCCAGTTCTACAAGTTGACTTCCAGTTTGTTACTCATCCTGTTGAAGTTCAACAACAACTCTTCTAATATGTAATAAACACTTGTGCACACGGACACACACAGAGAAACAGAAAGACCCCAATTAAAAGACAAATCCATGTAAATTACCCTCAACTTGGTAATGTATTTTATTTAAAATGCTTGCCTTCTTAACCACATTGGAATGGCATCAGAAAATGTTATCCAAATTTAGATCCAATTGAAATCAGGGAGCAAAGTGGTGAAAAAAGCCACTTCAACTGCAATGGGAACTATGTATTAACTTTTCATATAGAATCAAATCAAATCAAACCTTTATTACGGCCTTTGGACCAGAAAGCACAATAAAATACATAGACCTGTAATGATTAATAACACTTTTTAAAAATGCAATAAAATTACATAAAATACATTATTATAGTAACCGTAATACAAATAGCAGTGACAATCACCAAAATTTGTGCTAAACTTCAACCATAGGTAGGATGAATGCAACAAATGGTAGTACAAAATCGGGCAACTTGGAAAGGTATGTCAGAGTCCTGGTCAGCTAGAAACAGTGACAGACGTGCTCTCTACCAGGGTAGTTCTTTAGAATGGGATAAATATATATCTTCCTTGATTCCCTATAGAGCAGTGTTTCTCAACCTTGGCAACTTGAAGGTGTGTGGATTTCAACTCCCAGAATTCCCCAGCCAGCAAGCTGGC